CAGGGCTGTCAACTCTCCCGGATAAACCGGGAGTCTCCAGATTTTGGACCGTGTCTCCCGGTCTCCAGATTAGAGTATCAAATCTCCCGGATAATCCCGAATCTGGCCATTTCTTGTCTTGTGAGACTAGACTTTAACAACCATAAAATTCCAATTATTTCATGTTATTTGTGTTATTTTACATCGCTAACAAAATCAAAACGTTCCTCATAAACTGTTCTTGCAAGCAGGCCATTGTAATATAAGCGATAATCTAATTGGTCAGAAATAAACCAATCACATCAAATGTTACCAAGCGAAAGACACCTTTTCGCGCGCTTTTTGACGCGCTGTGACGTCATGTCCCTTCCCTATCAAATTCTCCAGATTTGAATATCTCGGGGGTTGACAGCCCTGAGAATACCAGAACGAACTCTGAAAAGTCTGAGAAACAAAAGCGGAAAGCTGAAAGAGTATATCTTCAAACGTATTCGTCCAAGTATACCGAAGTCCTCCAGGCTTCATTCTTATACTTGTTATATGAAGGTTAGAAAACGTACAAAAAATGAATGTAATCACACAACATGAAAAGCTTTTGTTTAATTGCTCTAGCAGGGTTTATAAAGGGATAGATAATAAAGTTATAATACAGAGCTAGTCAGTATTTATCATTGTTTACTCGTAATACTGTAGTTTGATGTGTCTCTACAAGACTAAGACCCATATTTAACAATTATTCGCCGAAGGCAAGTGATTATCGTGTGATAGTGTGAGTTTCTTGACCAATCAGCGTGCGGGATTTTCTATAATCACCTGCGTATTTTTACTGAGTCAAAATTATTGTAAATTTAAACCGAGTACAGACATAGAGAAGTACCCTGTTCCTGCTCCAATGTACATTGACCCTAGCAAAACAATAACAGGCCATATAGCCAAGGTAATGAACTGATATTTAGACAAAATTTAGGACAGCAATGTGTTGCAATGAGTTTGAGCTCTTTGATTTACGATAACAAGCAAGGAGTTAATTCTACCAATGACCTCATGTTAATTAGAGATATTGGAAATCAGTTGTATTCAAATTTATCTTAATTTATCTTAATTTGCCAGACAGTCCTTTTTAATCTCAGGGGGGATGACTCGGGGAATAAAGTACCGGGGATGGTCGTCGTATCTCTTATGGGTAAAATTGTTTTGAAAATCAGCATTTTCTGGTATCTCTTAGGTTGTCGGAAGCTTGTCTTTATTCGGGTTTGTATGTCATTGGTTGATTTGTAGAGCAAATCTTTGAGTTGTTGACCGAGGCGGCCTTACCATGTGAGCAGAGGTTTTTTTCTGACCCTTTATTATGGTCCGACATATCGATAAAAGCCTAGTTATAGAGTTATTTAAGAAACACTTGTTTTAGATATATGGTAAAGTAGACTGATTTTTCCTCAAGATTCCATCGGAATTGGTATACTTTTGGTTCTTTAGTATTTTTTCCAAGTTCCTCTTTTGTTTATTATTTTATTGAAGAAATCATTACGTAAAGTTTACGGTTAGTAAAAGTGTTTGCCGAACTCCGGGGGGGGATTCCGGGAAAAAAGTACCGGGGATGCTTGTTAGAAATTTTCAAAAAGACTCATAAAAGATACCGGAAGTCTTTAAAAAAGGGCTTGGCTGAATGATTTTTAAGCCCTAAGGGATAGAGTACAAACACTGTAAGTGTGCAACATAAATACCACTAAATACTGCTAAATTATGCTAATCTTGTTTTCTATTGTTTAATTAGCACTATTTACTACTAAATAGTGCAAAGTGTTGCACACTTTTAATGTTTGTACTCTACCACAACAAATATTAAATTTTATATAAAAAGCACCCCCCCCCCCCCCAACCCGGGCAAAGAACATGCACATTCGATTTCACAATAGCCTGCATCACAGGTAGCCCAAGCTTGGATTCTGTGGTGTCCTGTTATAAGGAAATGTATGGATTGAATGATTTTATTGAAATTTTTGATGAATCTCCATACATTTCCTTATAACAGGACACCACAGAAACCAAGCTTGGGCTACCTGTGCCTGCATGTGTACTCGACATGAAGCTATCGAGACGTCATCCAATCCATATATGGGTAATATTGCGCTATTTTACTGTTTTGTCGAGGAGACAGGCAACCCAGTAAAACAACAAAGGCATTTTACGAATGTGATACAACAGGTATCCCAGTTCAAACAAAACTATTGGAAAGAAGATACCAACGACAAACTCTCAGAATATTTTACTGATAGAGTGCTCACACTAAATCCGTGAAACAAATACTAATTCTTAGCACTAAATAGTTATAATTAAACAATAGAAAACAAAGGATTCTGTATGAAATAATACTAATTAGTACTATTTAATGTTCACGGTTTTAGTGCGTGCACTCTGTCCCTATGAAATAAACTTTTTATTTATTAGAAATGTAGCAACGGCAAATCAGTCAACTCCAATAATCAATGGTTTGGTTGAATTTTATTTTCACACTACTTCGTTGCTTTAACACACTAATATAGGCCCAGGCTAAACAAAGAAGCATGTTTCCAGAAACTGATGTCAATTTGTTAAGTTTCCATGCTATGCGTCTTGGAAGCATGAAATGTTTCTCAGAAACATTTCATGCACAGCACAGCACAGCACAGCAGAAAGACTTTCAACAGAAAAATTTTGCATTTGGAAAAAGAATTATCTGCACGTAGCAATGTTTTGCATGTGACTAACCATGAAAACATCAGGAAAGGATGCACGCGGTTAACATGTTTCCTAGTTTACCCAGGAGCTAAGCACAGCCTTCCAGTAACAGTTATCAAGCGCATAACTATACGTTTGTTTTACTTTGCGAAAAAACTAACAGGTCCAATCCAATCAGTAATACTAGTCTACAAAAGACTGTTTTCATTTATCTGGGACGACCACGTCCTCTGCCTCGACCTATTCCTGGCATTGCCCCTGCTCCAGCTGCATCACTTGACTTTGGGTTCTTTACTGTTTCATCAACAGATAAAATAAGGCAAGCGGCTTCACAAGCAGCTGTTATTGCGTTGATTCTAACCACTGCTGGTTCCCAAACACAGGCCTCAAAGTTGTCAGCTATGTCTTCCCTGTTGATATCCACACCATACCACAATCCACCTGCCGACCAAAAAGTTTCATCTTAAATCATGGAAGAGTCCTCAAAGTGTAAGATAAAACTTGTATTAAATTATCTTTTCACTGAGATAATGCCGGAATCTCCTACTAGAGCTGGCATTCAGGTCAAGGGAAATGAGTATTTTTGAAACAGAAAAAGCAAAGGCACAAAACATTTTGGCAGCAAATATGTAAACAATCCAAAGCAATTAGTTCATGTGACCGAAACCTTTTACCTTACTGGACTTGGGAAAAGCTTTGTTGGGGCTTGCAGTGTTGTGCCACCATTCACTAGTTTTTTCCGAGAAATGAAAAGAAATCCCTTTATTCGATTTCAAGAAAAATGATTTCTAGCCAAGATGGTAAAGTAGACCTCCTCGGCTCTGAAGTAATGTTTTCCCATTTCAGCCCACATGTCATTCCCTAGAGTATCCTTTCTTTGTTTAAGGTTTGCGCTCAGTTGCACATGAGAAGACACATGGATACACCTAAAACAAAGAATCTTATTCTCAAGGGAATGACACGTGGTCTGAAATGGGAAAACATGCCCCAAGCCGAAGAGGTCTATTGTGCCTTTTGGTCTCTTGTTAAAAATTTCACTGTCTAATAATAATCTCAATTCCGTAAACAATTGTATCCCAATAAGCCTGAAGCAAGATGACGTTTTACCGCCGACTCTATGCCATAATAGTTTTTAAAATTGTTTCATGTTAAAATGTTTGATTCCTAAAAGAGTACTGAAGAAATAGAAAACGCGCGCGCGTGCTGTGTGCAGTTATAGAGCACGCGGGGATTGGCAGAACACGAGAGAAGTGTTAGGAGAAGCACGACGCGTAGCGGAGTGCTACTCGACACTTCTCGAGTGTTCTGCCAATCCCCGTGTGCTTTATAACTAAACACAGCACAGCAAGCAATTTTTTTTGTTTCTTTTATAAAATACAAATTTCAATAACCGTTTTTTTTTTTTTTTTGATAGAAATGACGAAACTGAAAGTGCGCGCACGTGTGCAATGTGCTCTCATAAAGCACGCACTCCCAACCAATCAGAACGCGAGACTTATAACAGTTATTTCATAAAGGAACAATAGTCATAATAAAACAGTAATGATGAAAAGGTAAATTATACACCGTGAAAAGATGAAAAAACTTACTGACGTTTCGGACGCTAGTCCTTCGTCGGAGTAAAAGACATAATTAAAGTCATAATTAAAGTCATAATTAAGGTATTAGGATATGTTTACGACCACTATGCGCGCAAACTTAAATAACGCGCTGGCTTTATAGTATAACACAAACAAAGTATACATTTTCTGAAAGCTGAGTAAATATAGTTTATAAAGAAATTTTCAAAATACGATTTTTTTAATTGTTGTTCACATTATTGCCCTCGAAGCGAAGTACATTTTAAGCTATGTTTGCGAAAAATGGCTTAACATACTCAGGAGATAATAAGCTCAAAAAGGGTGTCCCAGATTTTTGATATCTGTTTTCTATCTCTCGCTATTTTTGATCAAAGTTCAGCGATCGCTTTTGGAGTGTTGTTTAGAGTAAAAAAGCGTCATAACTTTGGAAAGAAATTAAATTTCAAAATTCGGAGACACCCTTTTTTGGATCATGAGTTATTTTATAAACTCTCCAAATTTTAAAAAAATTGAATGAAATCCAAGGGCCTTTTAGCTTTTTGAAGTTGAGGTTTCAGCGGCAAAAAAGATTCGAGAAAAACACATTTCTTTGTTTGGAGCCGGAAGCTGCAGGGAGCCACGATGGTGTTGGCCAAAACACCTTGAGCCTTCCATTTTGTCATCACTTGTCAAATTATCTGGTGTTCTGGACGATCGCAATGTAGGATCTTTTTACAATGACAAAGGAGCATGACAGATGTGCATATATTAAGCGACGGTACATTTCCGGTCTTGATAAAGTCACGATTTCGATTTTTCTCAAAATTTTGGCTTTTCCAATCAAAAATTGCAAGAAGTTTCACAAACATATGAAAGATAAAAGTTTAAAATTACGAAATTTAAAAAAAAAAATTTTTTTTCGAGCAATTCGTCGTTTTTCGTATCCTAATACCTTAAAGAACAAAAGCAGTGTGAAAAGGATTACGGTCTAGATACGGGGTAAAACGTCATCTCGACGTAGGCTTATTCTAAATGACAGCGGCTTCCTTCATTCGCACTTTGTTTCTTTCGTTACGCCTTTCTATTGTTCAGAATATTTCCAGAGTCGTGCATTCCAGTACCTCACGTATTACATCAATTTTGCTGCCAAAAAGTTCCGATGGGAATTATTCCTAAACGCTTCCATAGAAATTGTCGAAATTGTTAACTTGAAGGCGTTTAAGGTGGCTGCCTATTTTTGAACGTTCGATTCGCTCAAAAACTGCTGAAAAATCTACAAGATTTTATTGAAGAACCATACGCGTTTTGAGCTTCAACAGGGCAAAACCCTCAAATTTTGCACGGGACTCTATATTTTTTGATAGCTCATTCGAAAAAACTCCTAAAAATCTAGGTTATATCATTATTTTAGGAAAAGTTTAAATCAGGAACACGTGAAAAAATAGATTTTTGTAGGGATTTTTGTTCGACTTTATGAGATTTTTTAAGAGCACCGAAACTACAAAATATGACAAATCAATGTGTCTCTCTGTCTTTTTGTCAAAAATATCCATGTATTATTGTAGAAGGATTGACTAGCCTTCGTTCGTGCAATCATATAGTCTGCAAATAACTATTATTTTATTAATCTTAATTTTTTTTCGAAGTTTTAGAAAAAGCTTAAATCAATTTCCAAAAGTAGGCAGCCACCTTAAACAAACGTCTGATTTCGCCAAAAATGGAATGCATAAGACGACGGCGCTTGCGTACTTTAGTAGGTTTTTTACAAAAAATTGTCTATGTCACGTTCACTTCTTCACGCTGCTGTCGAAAGACTTTCGCGAAATGCGTCCATATGCAAGTTTTGGGTGGCAAAACGAAGGTTATATCTGAAATAACTAAATAAAAGCGCTTTTATACGTAAGTGGACGAATTTGTAACCGGTAAAAAAGTTATACGTTTAGGGATTTCGTTCACGATTTCGTTTCGTACGCCTAGCCGTGCAAATTTGGGAATAAAAAATAAAAATAAAAATTGATCGGTACCGTATGGACACCTTCCCCAGTTGACTTTTCGTATGGCAAGCCGTAAGCAGTATGCTTTGCTCATTATCAGATGGAAAATCACTAACATTATATCATAGTGGTACGGTTCCGTTTAAACAGAACATACTTTTTATACATATAAAATTACAGAGACCAGTTGACAGTTAAAAATTCGTCCGGTACCGTTTAAATGCAGGTCTAATTCAGTAGTTACCTTGGAAGTGCTTTTGTCTTAGTTTATTTAACACATTGGTTGCATCAAACCCAGCATTGTCACACAACTGTCTGGGTATAATTTCAAATGCTTTGGCCATGGCACCAATCAGAAGCTGTTCCTTGCCAGCAATCGTTCTCGAGTAGTCTCTTAGGTATTTACTTAACTCCATTTCAATAGCACCACCACCAGCAACCACAGAGTCATTTTTGATGGCTCTTCTTACAATCATGATAGCGTCATGTAATGAGCGTTCAGTTTCTGCCATAAACTGTTCTGCTCCGCCTCTTAGAATTATTGTACAGGTTTTTGCTTCTGGACATCCACTAAAAATGTTGTACCTAGAGAAAAAAGCACTTAGGAGTTTATCCGTTTATCCATCCATCCATCCATCCACCCAGCCACCCACCCATCCATCCTAGGAATACGTCATTCAAATCCATATATGGGTACTCTTGCGCAAGAATGCACTTTTCGTGAGGAGACGACAAAAAAACCAAAGGCATTTTACGACTGGGCTGCCACAGGCAACCCAGTAAATATATCTTGTATAAAATCGAATATGAAGTTAGCCTTCTGAATACACGAAAAAGCCATGATTTCGGAGAAATGAGTGTGCTTTTATACCGCTCATGATGTCCAGCAGAATTTTATGCAAAATAGGCGTGCAAATACTCTGGACAAAAAGGGAAATTTGTGAAAAAAGGAACGAACCCATTTTACAACTGGTCTACGCCCAACAGTACCTTTCTCCTCCAATCTGTCTCTCTTCAAAAAGTTCACAACGCCCAAGTACATCATCTGTAAGACCATTTACTGAGGTCTGTATTGCTCCTCCGCAGGCCTTCATTGTACGCATGAGATCTTCCTCCACAACACGACCAGCACAGAACATGTCTCTAGCAGCAGAAATATGAAAAGGCATGTAACTATCAAGTTAAATTGCTAAGATGATAATAATCATAGCAGTTTTCAAATTACACCTTTTGCTGTTCATTACGAGAAAGCACGCAATCATTTGTGCTAAACGTCAGTCAATAAACCGTAAATACAATCATTTGCACTATATCCATAACCAACTGCGTGCTGCGAATATTCAATAACGAAATTGAAATATTCATAAACATTCACTTACGTTCATGGGCATTCATTTACATCCAAAGACAAACAATTTCAAAAAGATAAACTTACATTAGCATGAATGTTGATACCATTATGATTTAAAGAATATTCCATTTTATACCATTTCGTTGCTTATTTTAACAAATGAGCATTGCATGACCCTTTTGAAGTCTTCATAAAAGAGGTTACATCAGCGTATTTCACTATAATCGGGCATATTCTGTAATATTAAATTGAACTTTTATTTTTGCTAAATGAAGTTGTCAATGGTTCCAGGCCCGTAGCTAGGATTTTTGTTGGGAGGGGGCTAATTTACAAAAAGTGGACCAACCATATACTTTATTTTTTAAAAGTCCCGTAGGACGCATAGGTATAGATAAATTATTAAAGTAAAATTGATTTTTTTTACTTAGTTTTACGTGAAAATATCATACCAGCCAAAATCTCACTTGCTTAAAAAGCGGACCACTAGCTCGCGTGGGGGAAGGGGGGGGGGGTGCAAACGCACCCCCTGCACCCCCCTAGCTACGGGCCTGGGTTCTATGAGGCTTATTCACGCGGCAGCCATGTTGGATTGAACAATACATTCCACCACGTGTAGCCTTAAATTCAAGCGCTTGAGAATTAATTTATGCGTGTGAAACGAAGGTTTTTGTTCTCATGAGAATAAACATGGCCGTCGTGTGATAAAGGTCCATTGTCAATACAAAAACACTAATAGTTGTGAGGATCACTGTAATGACTGTCTATTCATCTTATTAGTTGACAATTAGTGTACAAAAATGTTATTACATATCACATTCATTGCATTGAATGTTTGTTTTTAATGAATATTCCTTTGAACTTATTGGTACCAACATTCATGCTAATGTAAGTTTATTTTTCGAAATCGTTTGTCTTCGGACCAAAATGAATTGCTAAGAACGTAAATTAATGTTTATGAATATTTCAATTTTGCTATTAAATATTCACATCACGCAAATGGGTATGGATATGGTGCAAATGATTGTATTTACGGTTTATTGACTGACGTTTAGCTTAAATTAGTGCGTGCTTTCTCGTAATGAACAGCAAAAGGTGTATTTATGAACAGCCAACAGGTGTTGGTCAACAATAGCCAGACTGACACCCAATGGACCGTCAACACTTGTCATATTTTGAATACAAGTATAATGCAAAGTTTGAATGACATTCATTCATAAAATACTCTCAGAAATATACTGAAATCTACGTTGGCTTCCACGACTTCCCTATTATGGACTATGTGAAACCTAAGCCTGTATCTCGCACCACACGTAACAGCTGCAATATCCACATGCTCATACCACTAAACAGAATAAAGCAATCCCAGAACTCCTACTTCAACAGACTAAAGTTTATGAACATTGGGTCTCACCCTGATGAATTATTAATGAATATGATATGATAGGACTTGGAAATAAAAAACTGTTTATGATGCACTTGCATGTCCCAGTATGTTTTCTAGGCCTATTTTCCCCAGCAGCATCATTAATCAAATGTGTTGATGGTGTATCCATTAAAAGAACGATCTTTGGTATAGTTAAAGCCAATTTGGCTCAATAAGGGAATAAAAAAATGTTACCTGTCAGCAAAGTACTGGGTAGCCACATCCCCAATTGGCAACTTTGACAAAACCACTTTTGCTCCACTTTTGACCACTTTCTCCAGTTTGTCATACAAGATGTCCCACTCAGCATCAACAATATTTTGGTATTCCTGGAAAGACATCAAGCAGAGAAATCATATCCTTGATATCATAATCTGGTACTTGAAGAAGGGTTTAACAAATTCCATTAGTACCGCCATGGTAGGTGGATTTTATATTTCCTTTTTGAATAGCCTGCTATGTTATCTTCATCTTATGGCTTATAGTTAAAGTGCTTATAAGCCTTTGCACAATATTTTCAGAATTGATTCTTTAGATAGTGGATAGTTGATTGTGAAAATATTTCGTCATTTGAATGTCAGGTCTTTAAGATACGAAGGTTTATATTCCCAATATGTTAATGATATGACGTAACATAAGGGATCATTTAATATACAACACTGCACTCATTCTGGAATACAGTATTTTAAAAGCATCACCCTTTTACTCGTGACTCACGTAAAGGTTCTTACAAATTTGTTTTCAAAAAATGTCCAGCATTCAATATTAAAAGTTGCCACAAAAGAACTCAAATCCCTTATGTTACGTCATAGTCATTAACATATTGGAAATATAAACCTTCGTATCTCAAAGACCCGACATTCAAATGACGAAATATTTTCATAATCAACTATTCACTATTTAAAGAATCAATTCTGAAAATATTGTGCAAAGGCTTATAAGCACTTTAATGATCATGTAAACTAAGACACTTACATTTCATAAATCAAAAGTATTGGAAACCCTTAGTGTCTGACTATCACCAAAAATAAAAAGAACTTCAAAATAAAACAATTTTCATGACAAAAAATGTAAATGGTTATGCAAACGAATGATCCTAACTTATAAGTCAAAAATGTGGGCGATAAGTGCTTAAAAAATAGCAAACGAATTGCATAGACCCTCAACTTCTTTAAAACTCTATAATTTTTCAACCAGTTTGAACACACATTATCATTTTTAAATCAAATTATTAAAGTATTAAATTAATACTTGTCCTCTTGTACTATTAAGAAAAAGCAACACCGAGTCTTGTTTAGAGTAGGGGAAAAAGGGTGGCTGTAGTAACAGTCTGGATTTCAACTTGATCTGTTATAGCTAACTAAGTCAGAGTTAACCTACCTCAACATTATCAAGTCTAACTTCAGCATTTTCTTTCTCAGCTTTTAACTCAAGTTCTACATTTAACATTGCAATCTTGCAATCTTTGTACTTCTTAGGCTGCATTTCAAAACCAGCGTAAGAGAATGTTTTCTTGAAAGCTACGCCCTTTATCAGCATGGAATCTTCTAGGGCACCTCCTGAAACCATTTTGATACCTATCATGTTCAGGGGAAGAAGCTCATCTAGATGAAGTACAGCATCAACTACCATTTTAGCAAAGAACTCTTTATAGGATGCAATCAGTTTAGAACTCATTGCTGTAGCAGCACACCTTTCAAGCAGCTTTCTCATTTCCCTGAGAGAAAGAAAACACATTTAATTAGCTAGGCAAGGATGGAACAGTATTAATTTTATATAAAAAAGCACAATTAACAACTCAAGAACCACTTTTTACAAGCACTTACTCTGGATCATCCTTTTTAACAGGAACAGCTAATTCTTTTATTCTCTTAATGGCCTGTCGTCAAAAAATTACAAAAGTTTTACTCATACTTCTCATACTGGTCAGTAAAGCTCAAAATGTACATTTTATATATAGGTGACAACTAGAAATGAATAGCTTTGTTGATCAATAAGGACTAACTGAAAACATACAACATACTTCAGTGCTTCCTTGAGTACAAGCCACGCTTTTTAACTAGTGGATATGCGAAGCATAGCAACGAGTCATTGTGAGAGGTCTGAATGCAAATGAGTAGATTTTAATCTAAGCTTTCAGACCAGATTGGTCTATAATCAGGGAATGAATAAAGAATTGTATTGAGATTAACTCCAAAAATCTTAAACGCTTTTGCTTGTTAACAAGTCTAAAAAAAATACATCCATCCCTTCAGTTGTAAAGTTTGGTGATGATGAGGCATCACTTCCGAGGGAAAAATCCCAACTCTTCAACAAATTTTTCGTGTCAGTATTTGCAACTTAACTGGACTTGGTTGTGGATAACCAATCTCATCATCAYATACGCTGATGAATGCATTACAGATTTTATTTGCACAAGGCTTGTGGCCCTGATGGCCTGACTGCACTATGTCAAAAGAAGCTGTGTCTTCCATTGTTTCTTTAATCTCAAACATGTTTAACCTTTCTCTCTCTCGAGTTAGGAAAACTACCCAGTGTATGGAAATCTGCTAACATCAGGCCTGTTTTCAAGAAAGGTGAAAAGAAACTTGTGTCAAATCATCAATCTATTTCTTTGACATGGCTTCTGGTCAAAATATTGCAAAAGCTAGTTGTTACTCATATTGCATGCATCCACCAATATGGCTTCCCATCTGGTCTTTCATGCAAATCCCAACTTATCCAATTACTTAACACCCAGAATGGATAATGGATAAATGGTAAAACCACTGATGTAGTATTCTTAGACTTTCAGTAAGCATTTGAATCTGTTCCCTATAACCGACTAATATAATATCATAAGATTCAACAATATGGAATTGGAGATCAGATCATGAAATTGTCAAGTGATTTCTTAGCTGATAGACGCCAGATTGTAGTAATACAGTACATGGTTGTAACTCAGACTGGGCCAAGGTGTTATCTGGAGTACCTCAGAAGAGTATCTGGATTACTCCTATTTTTACTCTATGTGAATGATATACCAGAAAATCTTTCTTGCTTCAGTGACATGTTTGCTGATGACACCTTATTATACAAGCTTTCCTGAATGAGATCTCTTACCCTGTTCAAATGAGTTTATCTGGAATGCGAGAGCATGAGAATCACAAGAACTAAGGTGAATACAGTGTTCATACATCACCAAAGAACACATGCACCCTTCAACAATACTTTCAGTCTACATAAAGTAAATGGTTGAATGGTAAATTATTTCTTGATTTGAGTGAAACATTTCTAAGTAATGAAGGTTCCTGCTTCCATTATGCTAATAAGTGTGACATCTATTAAGGCTTGGTTAAACATATATATCTAGTCGTTTTAACAGAAAGTAAAATGCTGCGAGTTGTAATCATTAGTTATCAACTCGCGAAATAGATATTACCATAATATTGCATTAATTTAATCATATTGTTATTGAAAAGTAGGAACAAACCGTGGTTTGGGCTTTGTTTTGCGTTCGCCAAAGTCACATCTAACATCACTCTGTAAACGAAGCAGATGAGAGCACAAAAGAACCGCTCTTGTTTTCCTACCCCAGTCTATTTTATTAAACTGAAAGTCAATTTGATTTTTCAGTTCCATTGAGTACAATGAAAGTTTGAAATACCTAGGATGGCCTAAGTCTTCACTCTCGTCATGACTTTCTTAGCTTAGTTCAATTATTCAAGTTTATAAATGGCTTTTCTAAAGTCAAATTACAAGTTTACTTAGTATTTTCTGAAGGTCGTACTAGGTCTATGTTTTATAGTTTCTTAATCTTTTTTATAATATGTAATTTCTTTTTTTTCTTTTCTACCAGAGATTTCATTGTTATTAGGTAGTGGGGGCTGCCGTATATGAGGACTCAGTTCTTCCCTGGCAGTACCCTTTTTGCAACTTTTTTCTATTATTATTTGTTGGCAAATAAAGTTATTATAAATTAATTAATTAATTAATTAGCTTTTTAAAGAAATTAATCGCTAACGAAGCGACGCTGGTACTGCTTGGCACGGATAGTGTAGCGGTAAATACTCAGAGCATACAGCTGATTCAAACCAGAAAGACCGTTGGCTGGAAAGGATGTTTATTTCTAAGATAAGTGAGCCCTATTTAGTATCTATTTAGAAACAAAGATACTGATCAGTGAATTAATTTTAGTATCTATGAATAAGTGAAGCAAACACACCTATATATAATCCATCTGTCCTAGCACCATTGAAAATACTTCCCTCAATGAGTGAACGACGCAATCAGAATTAACTTGAGCAGCAACACCTCAAGAAACACACATGTTCTAATGCACGATTATTTTAATGACCCCAGGTCAAAAGTACTGAAGGCTACGAAAATCATCTTCACGAACCAATAAGAAATTTCTCAAATCAAGATTTTAGCTACCATCTAACACAGGAAGACCACAAGAGCAAGATTAGTGTTGCTGCTCCCCTGATGCCTTGCAGCAAAAATTGAACTAGTTCACACAAACAGTAATTAAAAAGTATCATTATTTTACTCATGGTTTACATGAAAGCTATTTTAAATTTGTTTTCTCATAATGGCTAGCACTTAGTATTACTAGTTACAACAAAAACCCTCAAATACCTTACCTGACATCACCGTCATTAACATATTGGAAGTATAAACCTACATAACTTAAATCAAACGCCCTTTGGCAAACTCGTGGATACTTGTTGTTCCAAATGAAACTATTTATTTATACACGGTGAACTAAGCAAATATTTTATAGAAATTCGTTTAGAAATGCTATTTATTTTGTCTTCGTCCAAGTCAGTAAATTAATGATTATTTATTGGAGCGAATTTTGGTTAGACCTTCGCACATTTCAACATACAATCTGAGCATTGCTTCGGCTGTTTGTAATCTCGTAATGCGTGGCGCTCAATCTACTTTTTATTCAGAACGGATTATTCAAATGACAAAACTGGCCGAACTTCCTTCAAAACTCCATTGGAATTGTTCTTTTTTTCGTCTTTTGCTATTTTTTCTACGATCTACGTACATCTACATTGATTATTTTTAAGAAGTCACTTAGTACAGTTAGTAAATACGACTGTTGATCAGTAATATTAAAACTTCGCTCGATTGCGTTTATGAGGTTTTATTGCTGAATACTGCCATGACTTTCAGCTGTCTCTTTGGAGAATAAAGTCCTCCAGAGCTTGAAATCAGACTCTCTTCTTGAGTTCTAATTAAAATAGCTTTTTTCGATAACCGGCTCGATCTACGAGTCTTCTGAAATTGAAATGTTGACGTTGTACCTAATAAGCGTTTTTGTTTACTTTTTAAAATACCTCTGAAAAAAGGTCTAACTCATTGAAATTTTACTTCAGGCGTTAATTTTATAATTTTACTTCAACTTGCATCTTTCCTTGATTCTTTTAATATTAATATATATATTTAGGCACTGCCTAAAAGCGGAGCTCCTGATACGGAAGTCACAGGGAGAACAATTTGAATCAAACTGAAAGGTGAAAATAGGATAGGGGAAAAAATCTTCAATAATTTTTTATTCGAAATGATGATAATTTCTCCCATAATAAAAACCATGCAGTGAAATTGAATCGAAATGCACTACATCGTTTTTTGTTTTTTTGTTTTTTTTGCGAGAGTATACTCTCCCACTTAGGAATTTCGTACACAACTTACCACCACCCCCAGGGGCTAGTTTTGTTCTTGGAAGATTCTTCGACAAAAAGTTTTCCAAGGCCTACAGTTTTAGGCTTTGAATCTCTTTTACTTAAAGAAAAATGAAAAGGTAACTACAGATAATCCAATACAATATCAAGTTTAGTGAAATTTACCTTGGATGTCTTTCATTGAAATCGAAAATCTGGATATTTAGGACAAATCAAGACCAAAAAACAGACTTGAAAACTGGTTAAGGTGAGCAAAAAATGAGGTTTACTTAATAGGTCTTTTACAGTTTTCCAAAAATAGAGCTTACATTCATTTCAAGAGTTGACAAGAACAACTGAGACAAAATACAAAATAATGCAAAATGCAATGCAAAATACAAAATGTCTCATTTCTTTGGCAGTAAATTGGCGTTTGTAAATGTTTAACGTGAAAGTCTAGTAGGTCTTTATACGATAACATCTTTCAACAACACAAATTTAAGCTCATTTTTATAATCATACTTGCTCGAACAGCTTAATAAACAGTTGAATATTTGGTAAAAATTTATATTTCATTTAATGATTAAATAAATTATCTGTAGAAAGATATAAAATTATTGAATGAAAGTCTTCTTTGTTTTGCCGATTGGATCCAACGACAGGAGGTGAACAAAGCTTTTTCTTGAATGAAAAACATACGATAGCTGGTTAAAAACAACCGAATTGTTAAAGATTTACAAAGCTAAATAAAGGACGAATATTTGTTGTAATATGCTCTTCATGTTATA